GATTCGGAAACGGGATTTGACGACCTTTCTCGCGCGGCCCGTCACTCGTCTACCAAGATTAAACCTGGTCTTGGGGGAGATTCTAAAAACAACGGACGATGATCATGTTGACAAAGAAACGTTACCCATTATTCTCGATATTCTCTCCAGCTGCGTCAAGGTGAGTACTTTTCGGTTGGTGCACCACTCAATGATCTGACGGTCCGCCCAGAGTACAGAGCCCGGAATCGAAGCCGCAGAGAACAAGGTCAAGTTTTGGGCGCTTGTTCAGACTCTCGTCTTCCAGCAAGGGGAAATAATCGCAAGTCTTGTCTTTCTGAGTTGTTTCTCTGCTTACCTGTCCAAGGATATGGACCTGTATGCCGATACTCGAAATTTGGTCCGACTAGCTCCGGTTTCCCGATGGAATCGCACCGAAACGGGAATGTCTGGATGGATGGACCTGACTGCCGTGCTCCTTGACAATTTTTGTGCCTTTTCCCCATCTCTTTATGGCTTCACTCAGCTCACGCGATATTTATCAGTCATTTTAACACGCGACGAAACCCGGCCGAATGGTGCTGTTAAGCGATACCTTGTGTCGCGTGTACGCTTCCCTCTCCCACACGTGCTGCAGTCTTCTAACTCCTTTCCCAGCCAATCCCTCTCTCATTCCTGCGTCTGGGATCCTTCAACTCACCCGCAGAAACTCGGAGAGAGAATCTAGTGAAGAGTTCTACGTTGTATCCTTTCAGTATCTATCACTGCGGCCAGCAAGACACGCCGATACACGTTCCACGTAGGGACTGAGGCTCAACGCAAGAAATGGCATACTGTGTTCCAAGAGGCTATTGGTCTGCATCGGGCACGGCAAGAAGCTAATATGGTTTGTTTGCCGGTTTTCATCCGTCTCGTTTGTTGATGTTGGCGAAAGTACTTTGAGCCGAAAGTGTTGACCGATGGCTTTTTCCGGTTGCCCACAATCAAGCTCAAGGGTAACCCTCTTTAATTGTTACCAGAAGCAATTTAACCTCTTCTTTAGGATCCAAGCCGACAGGACGGATATCGAGTGCCGCACCATTTTGTCCGTTAGGAACTACCTGCTTCTACCTTTCGTACTTATACTCCAACAGCTGCCGGCGGCCGGAAGTTTCTTGCAGTCGGGTGTTTCTCCGGTCTATTTGCCGGGCACTGGGAGGAAGAACGTGAGATTGTGCCGATTCTTTGGCTTGACGTTTTGCTTAGTGTACAAACCAGACTTCCACAAAGCTTTACCTGCGTCCAACCCGACCTCCATCTATGCCATTGAGACGGTTTCGCACAAACCGTTTCATCGATTCATCGTGCACCACGATGGGGCGCTCGTTTCGTATTCGCTGGACCTCCTCGGGCGTGTGGGTTTGGGGGAGGCGGACCCCAAGAGTTTCGTGGCGTCGTCGGAGAAACACGAAACCGGCAACGTCCTGTTCTCAAACGTCATACAAGTTGGCAAGCGGGTGTTGGGTAGGCTGTTCTTCTCTGCCCCAACTAGTATATAGCTAATACGGGGAACACCAGTCGTATATGCATCCAAGCGGTACTTCCAGACCACGTTGGATTTGCATGTGATGGAGGCTGTCGACGCCAACTCGTCTGTCTTGAGCCCAAAGCGCAGTAATAGTGGTGGTTCGGCCCGATTCTTCCGAAAGTTTGGAGATGTACGTCCCACCTCGCCTCAGTTTAGTATGTTCTGACGAAACGTTGTAGCCTGGATTTGTCGCCAAGGACGCGCATAACATCACAGCGCTCCTGAAGACCATTGCGATCTCTACGCAGGACCGTATCGTTATTCTAGATCCTACAAAGTGCGCTGTTTCCCTTTTGGCTCAGGGTGTCCTTTTTGACGTTGGTCTGCAATGCAAGTCTTACGAGATCGGCGATTACTTTTGTGCCTGATTTTACGGACCCAAATTCCACGGCCACTGCAGAGGCGAAGACTGCGCTCAAGAGACGTCTCGAAGGCATGAAACCGCTGGGCTTGCTCCGGTGCAGCGGGTCCGAAATTCTCGTGGTGTATGACTGTGAGTTGTTCTTCTGCTTGTGAGCGACGGCTCACTCGTCGTTACTAGCCCTCGGCTGCTACGTCTCGCGCCACGGCGGCCCGAGCCGAAATGGCGGGTACATTCGCTGGGAGTGCAAGGCAACGTCGTTCGCCGCGCGCGGGGCACACGTCCTCCTCTTCTCGTCGAACTTTATAGAGATCCGGAACGTCCTCACAGGGCTGCTTGTGCAGGTGATTGAGGGCCAGGACATCCGCCTCCTCAACGCGGCGGATGACGGGATTCTGGCGGTCATGCGCGGCGAACACGATGATGAAGCGGGGGCGAGCGAGAAGGTCATTGAGTTGCGGGAAACGTCGGAGATTATGGGCCCAAGGACGGCGACTGTGCAAGCGCCTGCAATGTGGGAGGAGTGGGATATGTAATGTGCAATCTAATGTAGCTCATACCTATTTTATTGTTAATATCATGTAGCAAATCCCTTAACTGTTTGTAGTTCCGTGCCTTCAATGCTTGAGCGGTAGCTACTTGTCGGAGATTGACTTGGCTTTAGCGGTCGCTCAAGTCAAAGCGCGAAACACGGAATAGATTTGCTAAATCTATTCGATTCGGTGCTGGCATCAAACTCAAGAAAAATATGAGCTGAGCGAATCAATACACGGACGACTACATTATTCTACACATGGCGCGACGTACGTACAGCATACACAGTCCACTACAGTATCTCCATGAGTCCCTGCTTGTGGTCGAAGGTGTAGCCGACCACCCAGAACGTGGAAAGGCTTGTATTCGTGTCGTATGCTCGGCTCACAAACTCTCACAAACTTTTGATTGAAATTCTTCATACGCGACTCCTGCGGTGACGAAGTCCATATAGCACACCGACCGCGGGGGCGTAAAGGATTTGTCATCTACGTCGATGAGTACCCAGCTGGTTCGAAGTGCGGAGAGTGTCGTGGGCCTTTCTTGGAGACTTGCGTTCGTTATCTAGACGCCATCGCCGGAGAAGTAATATCGTGGTGGGATCGGTGAGGTAGAACACCGACTGTCCCGAAGCGAGCAGGCAATAGTGACAGCCGAAGGTATCGGAGGGGGGGTGGTGAGCCATTGCGCGCTCCATGAACATGAACAGGCCATGCTCGTGTCGGTTAATGGATGTAGCCTTGTCGCCGCGGTGGTCGACGTCCACTCCGAGCTTGTGAACGGCCAAGGCCGGATGGGTTTTAGGGTGAATATGGCGTATGGTGGCCGGGCCCTCGCCAACATCTTCTCGTAGTTCGGGTCGTCGCCTTCGTCGTGGGGATTGTCCATATCGATGTTCGACGCCAGGCTTGCGGGTGAGCCACCCGTCGTTTGGTGTCACGGTTTCGATGAGCAAGGCGGGAGCCTCGCCGAGATCCGCGTCAGCACCGGCAATAGACCAGAATGTCTCATGAAGGTCTTTGAAAAGACTAGTCGAAGTAAACTGCTGGCGGCGCCATGAGAGGAGACTCAGAGAAGATAGGAGGTCGAGGTGATGGGCCAGGATGGGCCATGGCAAGCTTTTATGCGGCGACTTTTGGGCTCAGTTGGAAGAGTATTGGCATCAGCACTGCGGGGCAGGGGCGTGGCGTGCATGCAGCTGAGTGCGTCTACGCGGAATATATGTTACATGTAGACTTCGGAGTCTCGGAGAGGTTTAGTGAGCTCACATCGCCTTACACTCTAACTTTTACCCATCACCACCATGACCTAAAAACAAGGAAACACAGTAACGCCCAGATGCAAAGGGATATATAGCCCATGCACAAAAGGGATACCTGTCGTACTCTGAACGGTCTCATTCATTGCACTTTCATCGCACTCCTGCCATCCAATGCCCGTCGCACACGATAGGGGCTTGCGAGGTGTTTTTTCGTCTCAATCTCCCTCCCCTCCGGTCGCATTGCTGGACGTTGTAGACAGTGGCATTTCAGTCCCTCCGTGGCGCCTCGCTGGTATATTGGTCTAAGCTCTGGAGATATACCCCACCCTCCCCTGTTTCTTCGGGATGTTCAGGACAACATTGCAGTACCTCTGGTTCAACCCACGTGCACGACACCATCGCAATAGACACCCATTTTTTCCCCTTGGCCTGGAAGACTTGCCCTCCGGTGCTTCGCTAAAATTGTACGCGGGTTGATCTATTGTTCCTTTCAATAAATGCTATGCTCTGCCCTGCTATCTACGGTGTAATACTGCAAGGTCTCGGAATCTGGGTACACTAATGTCCTGGATCTCTCCCTCGCCGTATCCTGCCCTGTCCTTAGTCGAGAGACAACCAACTAAAAGACTCCACCGCACCGCCCTCCTCCTCGGGAACCGCCTCGGACTGAGAATCCCCCATCTTCTCGACATTACTTGGGGAATAGCCCTCCATGTCAGGCACCATAGCATCCATATCTTCAGTTGCCTGTATGAACCTGATGTTGCGCAGGTAGGGAATGCCCACCACCTCTACGCGATGCACGACAATGTTATATTCCTACCGATGGTTAGTTAATCAGAGGACGAGCATGCTATTCGCACCCACATGCTGAGGGTCATCAAATACATTAATCATACAGCGATTAGCCAAATATACTTACGATGTACTGGCTCATTATTCTACTACCCTGGTATTTAGACCTGCAGGATATACATACAGCACATTGGGATAATACCAGTAAATCTTGTTCCCTCATACTCAATTCTGGACACCAGGCCGCCCTGGGGCTCTGAATGCATCTCAATTGACCCACCAATATTTTTTCTCTTTTTATTACCGATCTAGCTGGGGAGGTGTTTGACGGGGTACTCAGGTTGTGAAATGGTGAAAGGAAGAGAGTATCCGTAGCATACAAATGACACATGTATGTAGTACAGGCCCCAGCTGTTTCTTAACGGGTCCATGCTGGTATACATCCTCCTCCTTCTCCTCTAAGGCAATAGGTATGTGAGTCACACAATGAGGTGTTATAACATCCGACTTTAGCTCAGTTGGAAGAGCATCAGACTGTAATTGGATTACGTAATCATCATCTGGGTGTCGCCTGTTCGAACCAGGCAAGTCGGATTCTTTTTACATGTTTTACTCCTTCCAAATGGCACGCCGTATTTCTCTTTTTTTTTTTTTTTTTTTTTGAGGAGTGTTTACAGTGGTGGATGCTTGAAGGCGAGAGAGGTTTTGGATGTTCTGCCTCCTCTTCCCCTTCCACCATGGCGCCCTCGGGCAGAGTCCACGGTGTGCAGTGGAAAATAGTTTCCCCTAGTATTCTTTGGAATCGACGTTTGTTCGAAAGATACCGGGTGTTCGTTGTCCTCCAACAAATTGCCTTATTAAGGGTTTGGCGGTGAAAAACTCAAGGCTTATAAATTCTGCTTAGTCAATACAAACACGACCAAACACGGTGGCGGTAAGCGGAACGGTAGTTCGGCAGTTCTTTCAGCGGAGTTCGGTAAGCGGCAGCTAGTGACGGTATCGGCGGCAGGTTTTAAAATCACGCAAGCAATAAATGCAAACACGAGTAAATTTTCAGACTACCCGACAGACAGGGGGGGGAAAAGTCTACTACCGTAAAACTGGGGCCCTTTATATACTCCAGCGGGTGAGTCATCTTTTTCCGACTCATAGCGAGGTACCGGATATATGACTCAATGTGACTCAATGTGACTCCCATTTCGGTTCCGCACGTGACTCATTCTGGGCCGGCTATCCCTTCTTTGTCTATCCACCTATTTTTCTCACTATTCGCTTGACGGATCTTCCAAGCATATTGCTCGTACTTCAAGACAAACATTAATCATGTATCACATCCGCGGCGAACAGAATAAAATGGCTGTCCCCAGCCACCCAGTACGAGCAATAGGCCAAAGAGTGTGTTGATTTGTATAGGGCGTACAAAAGGGAGCGACAGGTATAGGTACCAGTGGTGGCAGGTAATAGACGAGGTCATTGTGCATGGAATGAAATCAGGGCGGTATGCACGCGATATTGTAACTGGATGTCGGCGGATAGCGAGCTCTCGAACACTTTTGCGATAGTATCCCTACTTTCTGATGCAGCACCCAAAGAGGCGGCGAATCCACCCGGCGATTCCCCGCGTGGGATCCGAAGGGCGGGGCAAGAAAAGAGGCGGCGAACGCGCAAACAGCGCCCCCAACTTCTGAACACGATACCGGACTTGAATAGCCCTAGTGGTGGGGTAGAAGTAGTGCGCTGAAAGCTTCAGCCACGTTCGTTGCTCGGTCGCCGAGTTGGTGCACATGATAAACACCGTTTCCGTCGGAGGTTCTTTACTGAAAAAGGTCATCTCGTGAGTCCTCCCCACCTGACTCGTCACCTTCCAAATTCCCGTCATTAGTCCGAAGCACTCGAGGTGCTCGCCCACTTGCACCTGGTAGCGCGGGGCCACGGTGAGCTCGAACACCTTCTGCTGCCGAGCGAGTCCAACAAAGACAGGGATGGCGGGCACCGGGGTGATGTCAGGGCGACTAGCTACAGCCGCGGCGACCACCTGATCCCGCCTTTTCCACGCCTCAAAGGCCTCCATCTCGTTAATGAGCTCCTCCGCGGTGTGCTGGGGCTCGCGGGGCCAGAGGTAGCAGAATTCGAAAATACGTGGAGGGTAATCGGGCCTCGCGAGGTGGTGACGCCGGTAAAGTGGGGTGGAGACAAGGTCAGAGGCGCTAGGAAGATCGGTGTACGGTCGGCAGTGGCAAACGCGGACTCGTAAGCCAGGCGAAGACGAACTTCCCGTGTGATGTCGGCGATCTCATCGTCTGCGAACGACCAGTGGGAATGTTCTGCCTCGTCGGTGACGCAAGAGGCTGAATACAAGGTGGGCACTCCCGAATAAAGCGAAGGCGAGTCTGACTCTCCGGGAATTTCAAGGGACGACCTCGCCACAAGGGTAGAAGGACTGTTCTCCAAAGGTGTACCAGGGGTATGGATCTCATGCGCATCGGCAGCATCCCGATGAACATACTGGTGACCGATAGAGACATCGCCCTGCGCGCACACGAATTGTCATGACGGTCATAATGAAGGCATAATGCATAACATAAGCAGCTCACAATGCGACTAGTTCCAAAGTCACCCGGCCGAAGCTCTTTGTCGTTGTGGGGTTGGATCCCCATTTCCAAATCGTAGTGGGGGTTGTTCATAATTGTGGCTGCACGAGGGTAGTTGGCGAAAAAGCTGTCTTGGAACAGAGAATGACAAGGCAGTAGAAAAGGCGAGCACCCCCTGCGAATTTCTGGACCGCAGGCTTTTATATGTTCCAGCCTACTCTGCTTCGAATTTTTAAGCTTCAGTTTAATGTCTGCCGCGGCAAGTTGTCAGCATCGTCCTTTCCTATCTAGGCCATCCCTGCAGGATAGCGATGATACTCCTCTTTTGGAAGGACAGGAAGAAGTACTACTGCCAATCATCTTCCGACGAGCTTAACATGACTTCATCATCTTCCGAATCTGACTCGGTCGCTTCGATTCCCAGATCACTTTCCTTCATGAACCAATGGTCGCGGGTTATATACGGTAGCAGACGAAAAGCAGCGGTGGGATTGCGGCGAAACAATGTCCCGTCCAATTCTCGCAAAATATAGGCTCCTCCTTGGTTCTTTCTCTCCACCTCATAAGGCCCAAAATAGCGATCATCTGTCTTCTTCCGTGCACTGACTTCCACTTCGATTCCCACATTTCACACTAACACCAGTTCGCCTTTACCATACTCACTCTTCTGCAGCTTCTTAACGAACCGTCTTTCAAATTGTTCTTTTGATCGGAAACGGGCTTTTCGCAAGGTGTCGCTTGCCCGTTGGATATCGCGAGGGTGCTTCGAAAGTTGGCGAATACGGAGAGTGAGTAGTTCGGCCGTAGTCATCCCTTTTCGGAATCCACTCACCAGGAAGGTTGCTTCTGCTAAATCGAATGGCAAGAGTGGGTCTGTGCCATAGAGTAATTGATATGGGGAAAACCCAGTCACTCGACTCACGGTAACTCGATCCGCCAAAAGTGCGGCATCCAACTTGGTGGGCCAGATCTCAATTTTTCCCCCGCACACCTTCGTAATAGCTTCTCATAAGGTGAAATGTCCCTGTTCCACAACCCCATTTGCATGTTTATTATAGGGTGTGATTTTCACATGCGGAATAGTCATTCGTTTCATCAGTACCTTGAACCCTGCTTTTACCTCAGATCTATTGTCAGTGACGACCTTCCGCGGACACCCGTATCGGCAATATATATGGGTCCAGAAGAAATCGGCCAGGTCTTCAGCCTTCTTGGTCTTCAATGCTTGGGCTTCACACGTGCCAGACAAGTCATCACGTGCCGCCACGATCATGTGATACCCCGATGAAGATTCCGGCATCATCATGATGTCTATATAGACCGTTTGAAAGAGCGCGACTGGTGTAGCGACCGTAAGTGGAATTTCCAGCTTCTTAGTGCTTCGTACTTGGCATCGATGACACGACGCAACATGATGTTGGATGTCATTGTACAGTTTTGGCCAATAGAAGCGTATCTTCAATATCTCCCAAGCCGGTTGCACTCCTCGGTGCCCCAGGTCATCGTGTACTTGATTCAATATTTGTAACCGTTTCTGTGGATCCAGGATAACTTTCAAGGGTGGTCCTGTCTTATTTCGGCGCAGCATTTGCCCCTCGTGAATCATATATCTCGTGGCTTGTTGAATAAAGTGCGCATGCTTCTGAGGCTTATCAAATACTGGCGCTTCCAGTGTAGTGAGAAACCTTAACACGTCTCGCAAGAACTGTTCCTGCCCCGTTCGATTCAATAGCACCAGAGGCCAGGATTTTGTCTTTCTTGTGTTCGGCTCCAATCCTCCCACGTACAGGGCTATCTCGTCAAGCCAGGCATCATCGTCACTGATAATATCTTCTCCTTCTACCGGCTCACGCCGGGACAGTGCATCTGGCCCTTGGAATCTTGTGGCAGGAACATGTATTAGCGCAAAATGAAACATGAGTATGCCTTGTATCCACCGGTTCACTGCCGCGTCAGGTTGCAGGTCCGGGTTATTAAGCAGACCCTGAATATATTTGGCATCTACCTCCACTGTTAAATTCTTAACCCCGATAATGTATAGACGCCAGTGTCGAAGAGCCCGATAGAGTCTGAACAATTCAAGCTTGGGCTGGGAATATCTCGATTCCCGTTCGCTCATGGGTATTGACCCATACCTTGCTGGCCTTCGACGGCCGGAAGCATCCTTCTGGGCTAAAATCATTCCTGCTGCGATCCGGCTTGAGTCGACTGACAAAATGACTGCTTCCTCACTTTCATAATCAATCGGTCTCAAGGCTGGTAAAACTGGGGCCCTTTATATACTCCAGCGGGTGAGTCATCTTTTTCCGACTCATAGCGAGGTACCGGATATATGACTCAATGTGACTCAATGTGACTCCCATTTCGGTTCCGCACGTGACTCATTCCGGGCCGGCTATCCCTTCTTTGTCTATCCACCTATTTTCTCACTATTCGCTCGACGGATCTTCCAAGCATATTGCTCGTACTTCAAGACAAACATTAATCATGTATCACAACGGTTTCCAGGCCGACATAGTTGTTCGCCTCCACCCACCAAGTTGAGGCCATGGACTTGGAAACCCGGCCAGCCAATAAAATATAACCTCTCGAGGGAATGTGTCTACCGCATCCATGCCTATAGCACGGTATGTGGGGCTCTGATTTTCTGTCTGCTCCGGTTTCCCAGTGTTACAACCATGCACTTTCTGGTTCCTTTCCGGCCATTTACGGCCTATTCCAGTTACAGCCCTTAAGGCCGTTACATCTCAACCAGCATCCTGTTGTGTCCGGCTAGTTCCGTTGACGCACAACCTTTGGGGTTTTTGCAATGAAGGTCTTCTGAGTGTTCCCCAAATCAAACATATGACTTATGCAACTATGCTTCTCTCTTATTGTTCTTATTGTCTTTCGCTGTACTTATTGTCTTTTACATACTTCTTTCTGCATTAGACTTATCTCCGTATTTAGTATAAATACGTATTATGTTCTATTGTATCTTTAGTTGAAAATTAATGTGCTTTG